AAAATCAATTACCATTTAAAAGTTTATACAATAATATAATTTTTATTTTTACTATTTATTATTTATTATTTTTATTTATTTACAAAAAAATTATAACTATTTTATTTTTTAATCGTTAAATTATATTGAAAAATGAATTTTTTAAAAACACCTAAATAAATAAAAAAGCTAAATTTCACGATATAAATACTACAACAAATCATAAAAATCATAAAAATAATACAGTTGTATATATTTCTCTTTAAAGTTCGCCTTAATAAAATACTAAAGTAATTAAATATTTACACAATTTAATAATTTTATTTAAAAAAGAATTTATAAAAAAACAATTATTAAATATAAGTAAAAAGAAAGAAATAGCTAATATATAAAATCTTGGAAATCAAAAATAAGAGGAAATATATAATAATTCATTATAAAATTAAACAGAATTAGATATAAAATTAAATAATGTTACTGTAAATATTTTTTAAACTCCTTAAAATACTAATTCTTTGAAAAATATAACTGCTTAGTTTAAAAATACATAAGGAAATGATAAAATTTCTGAATAAAAAAAAATATTCGATAATAATAAAACCAATATAAATTTAAAAAAAAAATAGTTTTTAAATAAATATAAAATAAATGATACTAAAAAAGAATATTAAAGCTATTTATAAAATTAAAAAAGAAGACTTTCATTAAATAAATTAATAAAATTAAGAATAAATTAATACAGAATAGGAAAGACAAACTACAAAAAGCAATAATTTTTCTTAAAAAAATATATGTTAAAAAAATGATTTAAACAATAATAGTAATTATACCAAAATTTCTTAATATTTAGAATAGCATAAATAAATAAAAGCGAAATATAAGATATTTAATAAAGTAAAGCCATAAAAGAACTAGAGTAAAAAATTATAAAAAGAGAAGAACTTTATTAAAAATAAATTATAATAATATGAAGATTTTATATATAATTTAGTACAAGAATAAGAAAAGAAAGTAAATAGAATAATAAATAAATAAATATTAATATATACATTTATATATTATATTATATATATATATATAGAAAATAAATATATCTTATTAACACACTAAAATTAAATTCTTCAAAGTTAATATAAATCATAAACATTTAAATTTTAAGAATAAATAAAAAAATTAAATTTAACTATAGTTAAATAAGAATAACAATTAAAATTAAATTAATAAAAAATACTAGAATTAATTAATTAATAAGATGACCTTAAAAAATAAAATAAAATTAATTTAGGTAATTTTTAAAAATAGTATAATGAAATTCATTAATTATTTAAATTTTAATATAATGAATTTATAAATAAAATTTAAAATATATAATCTTTAAGTAAAAATAATATAAAAGATTAATTAAATTCTATAGAAAAAAGGTTTTATAAATTATCTTTTTTTATTAAATTTCTTTTTATATAGGATTTAAGAAGAATCTAAATATTTATTTACTACTTCCCAAGCTGAAGATTTCGATACAAATAATAATAAATCTTTTTAATAAAATAAATAGGACATATAAATATTTAATGAATTAAAATAAAATATAGAACAAATTTTAAAAAAAATAATAATAAATTTAGAAAAAAATATAAAAGATGTTATTTAAATATAGAATTTCGAACTTATAAAAAAAACAATGTTACTTAAAATAATAAAAATATTATAAATTAATAATAAGAAAAAAGTAAAAAAACAAAATATACTAAATATATAAAATATATATATAAAAAATAAAATTAAAGTTCAATTTATATAATTATTATAAGATTTTTTATATAATATTAATATTTTCACCGAAGAAATATAATAAATTTATAACATATATAACATCAAGATTGATTAATAATAAAATAAAAATCTTGATATTTATATAAATTAAGAATTTAATTAATTTAATAAAAGATAAAGTTCAATTTATCCCAATGAAAATCAAAAGCATAATGAAACTTTTGAAGAAACATGTAAAATTTAATAAAAACATTTTTTTTTTTTTTTCGATTTAATTTTCTTTTAAAAAAAAGTTGAAGATTAGAAAAACAATTAATTTATTTCGGAAAATAATAAAGGATAATGTACATTCATTGAATATATGAATAATAAAAAATAAAATCTAAGTTTTAATTAAATTTTGAGTTAAAGAGAAAATGAATTGGCGATATAAATAAATAATTTAAAAAATGAATATTAGAGTAATTATTTTTTTAAATAAATACTTATTTATTTATTTTATTAAAAAAATAGCTTTATGTATAAGCTAGTCCAGTTTATAATAAAATGAATCTATATTTGTATAAGATTAATTATAAGAAATATAGAGATTATAATAATAATTAGAAAAAATAAATTAAATTAAATAATAAATAAAGTAAACTGATGAATTATTCTAAAATTAGATATAAAATTAGCAAATGCGTTAATAATGAAAATTAATTTATTTATCTATTTTATAAAAAATAAATTAAATCAATCAATCTTTTATTGTTAATTATTAATTTTTATAAAATAAAAAAAAAAATTCATTTGTTTTTTGAAAATAGATTTTTCTATTAATTTATTTAAAAATTTAAACCAATAAAATTTTTAAATATTTATATATATTATAGAGGTTTATTATAAAATTTAAGATTATATATTAAGATAATTCTTTAAGTTCTTAATCTTTTTTTAATTTTCAATAATCTTATATTTATTATAAAGTAATTATATTTTATTCAATGTTTTAATAATCTATTAAAAAATCCATCTTTAATTTATCTTAATTAACTAACATGTCCACATTCAACAATACTTCCATTATCCAAAACAACAACTCTATCAAATTTATCTATATTTTCTAATCTATGAGTAATAACTATAAGAGTTTTATTCTCTGCCAGTCTAAACAACTAATCATGTAATTCCTAATCTGTCTAAGGATCCATATTAGACGTAGCCTCATCTAAGCAAATAATATTAGAATCTCTTAAAATAATTCTTAAAAAATTTATAATTTGTTTCTACCCATTAGATAAGCTAGTTCCTCCATTCTCCACTTTATATTCTAAATCAATTTTTTAATTTACATTTATTTATTATTATTAATTATTTTACATGTTTAATTTTAAATTCATTTAATTAATCTTCTATTCGATATCTTATTTTGAAAAAAAACTGCTAGGATCTAAATTATCCTTCAAGCTACTATTATATAAGAATCCAAACTAAGGAATAATTGACATTTTTGACCTTAATTCCTTAATAGAGTACTATTTAATATTTTTCCCATCAATAAAATACTTCCAAATTAAAATGGGTACAAATTAAAATCATATCCAAATTGAAGTTTCCCACTTCTGTGCTTCCACAAATAGCAATTTTTTCTCCTTTT